TAATCCCATGAAAAATTAAATCGACGCAGTTATTTCTCGACTTGCGAATTTTATTGTGTTGATTGCCCGACGTTTGAGACTAAAAACAAACAGATTAAGTAAATAATGTGATAAATCAAATAACGGCTGGGAATTACGACTTGAAAATGCGTTGTCAGTCGCGCTGGTGAATTTAACAGTTTTAATAACAGGGTGACAAATCCTGCTTAAATAACGACTAGGCTGCATTAATGAATCGACGAGATCTACGCGCACTGCATGATGCACAAATGCATTGGGACTATATTGCGAATATCCGACACAAGCGAGGAATTCAATCTCTAGCTCGGAGATTTCTCACCGGTTCTGAATTGGGATCCGCTCGATCATCGGGCGCGTAATTAGTGCGTCCACTCGTTCGGCGATTAGGCGGTCTATCCGCGGCGGTAATTAATGTTAGCATCGTTAGCGCGTTAGTCTTGTTAACTCCCGTTCGCATTATAGTCTAGCTACAGTTCGAAAGTGGTGCGTGCAGATGTCTGACGAGTAAGAATAATTAGCGCTTCGTAGAATATAACAATTAGTGAATCCAGAATAAGTAAATTGCTGTCTAATAAATATCACCACAAATTTTGATTTAAGATAATCTCCTAATAAATAAAATTATTTATCGAAAGTGAAAATATTCCACTCGACAATAATTTTAATATTATATAAAAAAATTGATGCACATCGCATCGATAACTCAACTCAAGGCTCCCATAAATTTTAATTAGTGCGAATGAGAGTTACGTTCATCCAAAGTTGCTTTCTATTAACGCCGGAGAATTGATAAAAGCTCTTTCGTCCGCGAAACTTTTACGCGCTATTCCCCGGCGATTTTTGCACATATTCAATCCCCGACCCGCGTGCTTGACGAGGATGGAGATAATTCGTCGGACGATGCATACCGCGACGAATAAATCAGCCATAGCGGGAGTCAGAGATCGCTAATTTGTTCGAGACACGCGACGACGCGTGTCCGAGTCGCCGGAAAATCGACTTTTTCTATTTTGTTGGACGGCTTCCCTCCAGTCCTCTCTCTCTCTCT